TGCTGAACCACAAAGTAGTAGGCTGAAATGATGACCTTAATTCTTAGGACTACTTTTCTAGTCACAGATGTTTTCAAGTTTCTAAGAAAAAAATAACAAGGAGGCCTAACAGGCTGCTTCACAGAACTACTTTAAAATGAATTGAGTAGGGATGGGGGCAGAGTCTCAAGCATGTATGTGACCTTTCTGGTCTCAGCAACTTGCTATGTAGCTAACACTCCAGTGTTCACCAGTTCCCCTCCCTCCTAGCAAGTGGCACTGAAGGGTGACGGTAGCTCCCTTGTTCCCCCCTCCTGTCTCTTGCTTCATCTGGTCTTATCAAAGAGGAGCCGTGTGGCTTGGAGACTCTGGATTCTTTTAAGGCACTCATAAGGTGGGTCCTACTGGAAAGAGCTTTAAGGGGGTTGGTCTGTATACCTGTGTCCTTACCTCAGGCTCTGAGAACTGCTGGGGAGGGGAGTCTGCTGAGCTGAACCGTAGGTGCCGTGTCTGTTCCTGCTATTTAAAAGTACAGGCGTACTGTTTGCATGTGGTATGTGCTGCCTGTCTCTCCTGGTCAGTGAGCTTGCCTTGAGGCAGAAGCAGCCTCTTTGGACCTACTCTGCCTACAGACTGGATGGTGACAAACGCCAGAGGCCAGGGATGGCTAAGTGAAGACACTCATCTCAGAAAGCCCAGACTTAGGACAGCCATCTGGGAACCTGTAAGATGCCAGAGTTCTGTAATGCTCTGTTTGACACAGCAATTTTAACATTGGTCGTTTCTCCCCCTTTTAAGAGATTTTAACGTTTTGCTGCTTCAGGTGGACGGAGAGTTCACCAGTCCCACTCATGCTGCTCCTACCCCACCACACCCACCTGATACAGGGTGCTAATTTATGCTGAGGTGGAGATAAAGAGGGGACCCAAGGGGGAAACTCATTTCATGAACCTGAAATCTGGTTTTCAAGGCCTCCGAGGCTTTCTTCTGAACTTATCACCAGCCCTGGCTGGAAAGTAGATTGTGTTTTTAGTAATGTGTACTGTGATCTGTCCTCAGTATAATGTATTTTGTAATGTATTTTTCTCATCTACCAAAGGATGAAACAAATAAAATTATTTAAATAGTTTGGCTCTAATCAAATTATTTAAGGAAATAATGGGATCCACATTCACCTGATGTAAAGGGAAGCACCAGCTCCTGTGCGCTGTAGCTATATAAACACCAACTCTAAAGATAAAGTCTTCCACTTTTCTTGTCAAACCTAACAGTCCCTTTCATAACCTTACATTAGGCTGCTAATGAAGTTACACAGCATTAGAAAAATAAATAAAATCAAGGCCACCTCACCCTGAATCAATGTTCTGTCCACTAAGAAGGCAAAGAGAAAGGAAACAAAACTTATACCCTATGCAAGTGTGCATCTATATCCCAGGCAGTGTCCGCACGGCCGGCAAACGACAGCTTCCCAGTCTCGCTGCTTGGGTTTTAGAGGGCAGCACTGGGGAGGGGTGGCTAGACAGAGGAATCAATCACCCCAAACGTGAAGCATGCCAACATTTATTCACCAAGGCGATGCATCAATGTTTAAATGCTCCCTACCTGATTCTACAACAGAATGCCAGGAAAATTAATCAGTGGGCCCCTCCATTCTCCAGAATCTGTCAGGGCAACTTACATCATGCTCTGAGGGTACAAAGAAGAGACACAGGAAAGAATACAATGGCTACATCAGACTTTCAACCTCATGGAAGCTTCCCATGTTTGGTTCAAATGTTCACACTGAGCTGGGGGACGGAAGGCACATGACAAATTGAGAAGTGAGCTGGGGGAAAGGCAAAGGGGAATCCAATCAATCCTGGGCACCGCTGTGGCCTTTTTCACCCCCAAGGCCTCCAGAGTGAAAGGGCAGAGCAGGCTGAATCTAGACAAGAGAAGAAACGTGCCGATTGTAGCCATGTTATTTAAACTCTTCAAACTTTAGGATGTGCGACTGGAAGAGAAAGAGAAAATCTGATTGGGAAGGCAGGACTGCCCCCAGGTGGTCCACCCAACAACCCCTGGACAACTCCAGTTTGTTTCCTCTGAGGGAATGACAGGTAAACCCGCAGCATCCAGGCAGAGGCCGAGTCCAGGGCCTGCAGCTGAGACCCTGGGAGGTAGGGGAGGCGAGGGGAGGGGAACAGTAGATACCCAGCAGTTACCTCCAAGTTCAAAGCACCATTGATTTTCCCTTTGAGGATGCGATGGATAACCTGATATGAACTCCAAATATCTGTAAAACAAAACACAACAACAAAACCTTGGTGGTACTTGGTCAGGCAGAAGGAGCAATGGAGGGAAGTGAGAAGCCGGGGCTGCAGGAAAGTGTTCTGGCTGCAGACCAGGTCCTGCAGACAAGTCTCTGCTAGTTAGTACTCATTCCCTGCTGCCAGGATATCGTGAGATAATAAGCACTGCAGAGGGAGAAGGGGAGGGCAAAGTAAGAGCAAGTAAAAGGAGGCATTATTGTTGTTAAAATAATTACAGGGATCTGGGATTTTATATTCCCTAATGGAAATTCTGGAGACAGAAAACTGTTCATTCAACTCTGCTCTGAGAGTTTTGGCTGGAGAGATGGAGGTTGAAAGGCAGAGACCCTTTTTACCATGACGAGTGCACATTCCTACCTGCTGGGACAAGGCAGGGCAGGGCGCTGGTCAGACACTCACTTTTCTCCAGGACATCTGCCCTTACTCAGCTCCCGCCGCCCCGCCAAACTGGGACTGTTTGTATGCATGAAACTGGCTCATGTCAAGGGTCAGACCTCAGTTCCACCCCCAGCTATGCCATTTTCTTGCTATGAAATGTGAAGAAGTCCCTTTCATTTTCCTGAGGCTTACTTTCCTCATGCATAAAGGGAGAAAAATTGTACACCTGCCCACCTGGCCTCGGGATCATCTCAAAGTCCACACAAGAGCTGAGAACCCGCATATCTGGGCTGCATACTCTGGCCCCTCTGACAGGCTGGGAGCTGCTCTTTGGGGCAGGGGCTCCTTACTCTGGGCCACCCTCCAACACCCAAGCAGTCAGGTTCAGCCCACCAGAAGCTCCCAGGTCCTGTCTGCTGGCATTACTCCCCAGGCCGAGAGGCAGGGGCCGTCTTCGTGCAATGACCCAAGGTGACCTCTGGGTGGTGCCCATCAGCCTAGCAGGGAGGCTTGGCCCTGCACTTTGGGGAGGTCCTTTTCCATCTTATTTTGTGTTGTATGTGTATTTCTTCACATCTACTTCTCCTCCTCAGCCCCCAAAGCATTCTTTCACTCTTTCACATCTCACCTAAACCCCAGTCTCGAGAAGGGGCAGAGCAAAGAAGGGGCCTCTCCGTTTCAAGGGCGTAGAAACTGAGGCTCCACAGGTGCCTGGATCTACAGTAACAAACACCTCACACACACTATATACAAAAATAAACTCAAAATGGTTTAAAGACTTAAACATAAGGCATGACACCATAAAACTCCTAGAAGAGAACACAGGCAAAACATTCTGACATAAATCGTAGCAATATTTTCTTAGATCAGTCTCCCAAGGCAAGAAAAATAAAAGCAAAAATAAACAAATGGAACCTAATGAAACTTTAAAAGCTTCTGCACAGCAAAGGAAACCATAAACAAAACGAAAAGACAAGAAAATATTTACAAATGATGCGACCAACAAGGGGTTAATTTCCAAAATATACAAACAGCTCATACAGCTCAATATCAAAAAAACAACAACCCTATCAAAAATGGGCAGAAGACCTAAATAGACATTTCTCCAAAGAAGACATACAGGACTTCCCTGGTGGTGCAGTGGTTAAGAATCTGCCTGCCAGCGCAGGGCACACGAGTTCAATCCCTGGTCTGGGAAGATCCCACATGCCGCGGAGCAACTAAGCCCATGTGCCACAACTACTGAGCCTGTGCACTAGACCCCGTGAGCCACAACTACTGAGCCGGTGCACCACAACTACTGAAGCCAGTGTGCCTAGAGCCTGTGCTCTGCAACAAGAGAAGCCACTGCAATGAGAAGCCAGCACACCACAACGAAGAGTAGCCCCTGCTCGCCACAACTAGACAAAGCCCATGCGCAGCAACAAAGACCCAACGCAGCCAAAATAATAAATTAAAAAAAAAAAAAGAAGACATACAGATGGCCAACAGGCACATGAAAAGATGCTCAACATCGACAATTATTAGAGAAATGCAAATCAAAACCACAATGAGTTATCACCTCATACCAGTCAGAATGGCCATCTTCACCAAGTTTACAAATAATAAATGCTGGAGAGGGTGTGGAGAAAAGGAAACCCTCCTACACTGTTGGTGGGAATGTAACTTGGTACAGCCACTATGGAAAACAGTATGGAGCTTCCTCAAAAAACTAAAAATAGAGTTACCATATGATCCTGCAATCCCACTCCTGGGCATATACCCGGAAAAGACAAAAACTCCGATTCAAAAAGATACATGCACCCCAATGTTCATAGCACCACTATTTACAAAAGCCAAGACATGGAAGCAACCTAAATGTCCATCAACAGATGAATGCATAAAGAAGCCACAAAAAAGAATGAAATAATGCCATTTGCAGCAACATGGATGGACCTAGAGATTATCATACTAAGTGAAGTAAGTCAGAGAAAGACAAATATATCACTTATATGTGGAATCTTAAAAATAATACAAATGAACTTATTTACAAAACAGAAACAGACTCACAGACATAGTAAACAAACTTATGGTTACCAACGGGGAAGTGGGGAGGGGAGGGATAAATTAGGAGTATGGGATTAATAGATACACACCATTATACGTAAAATAGATAAACAATAAAGATTTACTGTATAGCACAGGAAACTATAGTCAATATCTTGTAATAACCTCTAATGGAAAAGAATCTGAAAAATATATATATATGTATAACTGAATCACTTTGCTGTAGACCTGAAACTAACACAATATTGTAAATCAACTATATATACTTCAATTTAAAAAAGAAAAGAAAAAAATAAAGGAACAAATAGCACATTGGGGGAGATACTGAGTCCAAATGCTCTAACCCCTATTGTTGGTCTTCAAATTCCAGTTTTCTTCTACACAGAATGCTTCTCTAAAGAAATCTTAGGCAAAACTCAATGTACGTGAAATAGATGGAAGCTGAGCCACTCTGGCAGAAGCGAGACTGGGAGGCTTGCCCTGCCCTCACTCCACCCAGAGAACTCAGCCTTCGGGCAGCACCTGAGGTTCCTTTCCAGATCTTGTTGCTCAGAGAGACCAGGTGTGAAAAACAGTTCCCAAGAAGCAGCTTTGCGAGGGGCAGATGCCGAAAACCGGGGTGAGATCAAAAGAATAGAGGCTGAAGGGCAGGCATCCTGAGGTCCTCGGCTGCCCCGGACGCCATTCCCGCTGAGGTCCCAGAGGCGCGCACAGCATCTGTCTCCGAGTGCTCAGGAGGGTGGAGGGCACCTTACCTTTCTCCAGCATGAATGGCTGAGCCAGCGGGGGGATGGTCCAGAAGTCGTCACTATCCAGGCTGCGCAGGGACTGCACTGGGATGGTGGCCGACTGGCCGAAATCGATGAACATGACAACAGCTCAGGAGTCCACTCGGTCCAGCACCCAGCACCTGGCCAGAGGGAGGGAGAGGAGGCTTGTCTCACCTGGTGGCACGCACAGCAGTCCTCACGGAGAGGGCTTGAAGGTCTGGGCTAACAGGGATGGGAGTTTCCTATGCTGTTCCCCACTTTGGATGGAGAGGTGATCAGAGGAGAGATATCTTGAGAGAGGAAGCAGCAGCAAAGAAACAAGAGTCCAGAGAATGGAGAAGCAAACCTCCAGCCCTGCCTGGCACACACCTGTTCCAGGCCCATCCGTAATCACCCAGTTGGTACTCGGCCAGACAGCGGGTCCCGCGCCGCACAGCTGAGTCGTGCAGGTAGGGCTGCTGCTCCTCTGCCTCGGCCAGGGCTCTGAACAGCGCCTGCATGTTCTGGTGCAGCGTCTGTGGACGGTACAAACGCCATGGGCCTCGCTGCCTGCCCCACATTGCACGTCTGTCTCTGCAGGTGTCACCTGTTACATGAGCACCGCTGATCCACCCCAAGGGAACAGAAGGTATGACGTGGCAGAAAGAATGAGGCTCAACCAGGGATCAGAGTGCGGCCACTCTGGATGTCCACCGCTGATGGGCCCCCATCAGCACACTGACCCCAGCAGGGCCCCATAAGGTGGCACCGAAGCCCAAGAGGACCACCAACAAGCCTGTACCTCCGTGACATGCATGGCCCAGAAGAAGGGGGTCTGAGGGACAATACTAGTCACCAACAGCCCCACGTCCCCGCCGATGCTGTGGATGGTGGCCAGCCAGCCCAGGTCTCGGAAGCATTCCCTCAAAGAGCAGCACCAAGAAGGACCCTCTGCAGGAAGAACAGGGAACAAAGGGAAGGGAGTGAACACAGGAGTGATTCAACCAACACCTGTCCTGGAGGATGCTGGGCAGGAGAGTCACCCTGACAAGAGGGCTGTGCACCCCCCTGCCCAGGGTGGGAACAAGACAAGTGCCCAAGTAATCATAACACAGAGCAAAGGAAGCACCACGCCAGGGGACAAAGGGGTTGGAGAGTTTGGGGAAGGGGAGAGGCAGAGGGAAATAAAAACACACCAGGGAACTCCACAGAGAGAGATGGGCAAAAGCCCTCACTGGGCTGACCTTGGGCCTGCCTGAGTGATTCATGAACCTCAAGTGATGCAAGTTTGGACCGTCCACAATGCAGGACACGTCTGCAATGCCCAAACCACTCCTCCCTGTGTTTAAGCACATGCCACACCTCATCCCACCACTCCACTAACTCTGTCGCCTAAGTCACACATGTTAGAAAGGCAGACCTGCCACTTTAGGAAAACGAAACAACAAACATACATCCTATAGTATTTGAAGTCAAACAGAATAGTCTGGCATCACTGACATTAAGAATGGTGTCTGCCGTTAAAGCAGAAGATGTGGTGGACATGCCGATCTCACGGCATCCAGGGTAGGGGAGAGTCACAGGCCATCACTGTACAGAAATGGAGACAGACTGTGTAAGTCACTGTGGGTCACAGCCTTAGAGCCTGGGTCTGACGCAGGAGTTCCTGAAAACTTTATCCCCCGCCCCAGTACCATCCCTGCCACCACCCTCTAGGGACTGAGCAGACGTTTACAGTTGTCCTTTGCCAGCGGCCTCTCTACACCTCCGCTCACCTCATTTCCATGGGAACTGCAAAGATGCTTGTCCTCGGTTTCTCTGTCTTACAGGGGTCAACAGAAGCTTTAGAAACGAGCTGTGTACAAGCTGGAAAGCAGAAGGTTGTGTTCTGGAGGCACCAGGGCTGTCTCAGAGGACCGTACCCCCCCTGCCCCCCAGAAGGCCCTGGCCCCACCCTCAGGGGCAGGATGAGATGGGAAGTGAAGCTACATCCTTCTGGGTCTCGGCCTCCACATCCTCAGCTGGATGGCGAGGGTTTGCTGGATGACATTCTTTAATCAAGAAAGCATCCTCAGGAGGCTTCCCTGGTGGCGCAGTGGTTAAGAACCCGCCTGCCAATGCAGGGGACACAGGTTCAACCCCTGGTCCGGGAAGATCCCACATGCCGCGGAGCAACTAAGCCTGTGCGCCACAACTACTGAGCCTGCGCTCCAGAGCCCGTGAGCCACAACTATTGAAGCCCATGTGCCTAGAGCCCGTGCTCCGCAGCAAGAGAAGCCACCGCAATGAGAAGCCTGTACACCACAACTAGAGAAAGCCCTCGTGCAGCTATGAAGACCCAATGCAGCCCCCCAAAAAATAAAAATTAATAAATAAGTTAATTAATTAAAAGAAAGCATCCTAGAGGAATAAAAAGAGATATTTCCTACACTGAGGGGTCAGCATGGGACAAAGCTGGAAGGGAGGCTGGGAGAAGTGAATCAGGAGCTGCAAAGACATGTCCTGGGAACAGATGGCAGCTCAGGATGTCACCAGTGGTTCCAGCAAATCCTTGACCAGAGGCCTTCTCCAAACCCTAGGGAGAAAAAGAAAGGTACCACTCAGGCATAGTAGTATTCGTTTCACTGGTTTACATGTTGCGTCTCTCCAAGCAGATCTGGAGACAGTGCAGCAACAGCCCCTGTGCAGACACAGGCTTCAGCTGACTTTTGGGGCTTCCTCCACTTTCTCCTTTCTCTCGGGGGGATCCTGAGTCAACCAAAGACAAGAGGTTCACAGAAAAGGAAGGGAAGAGGGAGGGAGGTGCTGCCGGGGGTGCTCGTCAGTACCTACAGGCGCAGAAGCCCAGCACTGCTTAGCCCAGGAGGCCCCTGCGGGCACTTCTTAGGGGAGAAAGAGGTGGAAATGGTTACTCTGGCAGCAGGACTGGGTGGAGACAGAAAGACTACAATCCTGCAGCCCTCAACCCACGCTAGCTTCCCTTGCTCCACTGTCCACACCTGGAAAATCCCCCGCCCTGGTTACACCCACAGATCTGCACGCCCTGCCACTTAGCTGCTTACCCCACTCCCCACTGACCACTACCTGAGAACACATGCGGCCACTGTTCTCAAATGGACATGCCACAATCCCATGGTAAGCCCCTAGTGAGTTTCCTTTCCTTCCCTCCAATGGACAACAGCTCACCCCCTCCTCTCTTCAAACCCTCCATACTCCCACCCTCCGCCCACCCTATGAACCTGCCTCTTCGTCAGGAGAAAACTGGAAGCAACTGGACGGGAGGCCCCTCAACCTCTCACCACCCAAACCGCCGCCCCCCAGCCCCGCCCTCCCTGCCATCCCTCTGTTACCTTCTCAGAAGGGTCTGGCTCTGGGGCCGGCACTGTCTCGCCTTCTGGAGGGCAACACCCCTGCAGCCATGCCCCTTCTCCTCTACTGCCATCTCTCTCCCGGTGGACACCTCCCACCAGGAAACAAACATGCTCCATTATCCATGTTTGCAAAGACCCTGCCTCGCCCCCCCAGCCCCTCTGGCGACCACCTTTCTCTGCTCCCTTCACTGAAAGGGGTGTCTAGAGTCCTGTCTCCTTCCAGTCAGGCCTCATAGAGACGCCTCCTTGACAGGCCAACCAAGAGCTACACAAACTCAGTATGTCTAAAACGGACCCTCCGCAAGGTGCTTCACCTCGGCTTTCTCAATTTTAGTAAGCTGCATCATTATCTACCTAGCGGCTCAGGCCAAATTCTTCTCTCTTTCTAGCTCTGCAACAAATTCATCAGCAAGTTAAGCCGTCTCTTCCTCCAAAACACACCCAAACCCACATAATCCTCTCTCTCCATCTCCACCACCCCAATACTAGCCATCACCATCTCTTACCAGGACCGTAACAACCGTGTCCAAAGACGCTGCCACATAGGCTCCTGCAATCCAGTCCCCACCCAGAAGATAACACAACCTCTTAAAAACCAAAATCAGATTACATCACTCACCTGATTAAAACCTTCCAACACCTTCCCATTGTGCTTACAAATAAAACTCCAAGTCTCCAGGTGGGCTCACCAAGGCCACCATGATCTACCCTCCTTCCCACTGACCTCTTCTCTGCCCACTTACCCCTTTTCCCCCCATGTCACACTCTGAGGCATCTGTAGGTGGCCCCTCTGTCTGGAATGTTCTTCCCCTGGTCTTACCCATGATAGGCTGACTTGTCATCCAGAGCTCAGCTGAGAGGTCACTTCCTCACAAAGAGGACTCTAAGAACAATCTAAGTGACCCCTCTCCTCTCTATCACATCACGTTATTTCAGTTCTCTGTCTGGTACTTACTATTGAGACAGGCTGGGCCCTGGGACCCTTTGCTGCTGTGCTTGTACCTGGACACACGTCTCCTCAAGCAAAGAAATACAAGGAAACTATTAGGGACTAAAAATAACTGCGTGCATGTGCAGTCGGGGCAAAGATACAAAAAAGACGGAAAACCCAAAACCCAACTGCCACTTCTGAAGAGCCGGGAGCAAAAGCAGGGTACTGCGCAAGCCCCCTGCACACACCACTACCAAAGGGGCCCTCTGGCCCAAGCGCTGGATACACCCCTCCCCTCACCCCATATACGGAACCAGCTCTCCCTGCCTCGGGAACCGGCAAGGGAACCTGTTGCTTGTTTTCACTCCCCCCGCTGCTGGAGGGGCCCCAATAACGCCCTGCGTGAACTTCTTGTCTGGCCCATTATCAGTTTCTATTGATTAAGGATGCCAAAAACCCTGGTTGGTAACACTATTTGACATTTTCTTTTTTTCTCTCTCTCTTTTTTTTTGCGGGGGGGGGCATTTTCTTATTTATTCACTTATTTATTGGTTCACTATATGTGTTTTTCCACTGGAATTTAAACATTATGAGAATGTGAATCACATCTGTCTTTTGACAATTACCTTCATTGCTGAGGTAACCCCAGGGCCCAGAACAGTGTCTGATACATATTAAGCTCTTAGTAAATATATGTGACAGAGAGAAGAAAAAGAGAAGAAAGGAGGGAGAGAGGAGAAATGAACTGGGGCAAATTCTTAATCTAAGCCTTGGCTTCCTCTTCAATACCACGAATCACACCTGATGTGAGGATTTAGTTGGGCCAGTATATGTTCAGGACACTGACATGAAATAGATGCTTAATAAATGGAAGCAGTATAAGAGAGGTTAAAAGTGCAGGTCCTGGAGTCAGACTCGGCTCCAATCCTGGTTCCAGAACTGACTGGCTCCTTAACTTTGGCCTGGTTACTTGGTGTCTACAGCAAAGCGATCAGAACACAGCCCGCAGAGTGAGCCCTCCGTGAGTGAACGACCACTGTCCACCGATGGGGCCCAAATCAAATCTCCACACTAAACCATTCTGCCCCTGCTGTTTACCTACAACAAAGCAAAGTGACTGTTAAAAACTGTCCTCTAGGGCTTCCCTGGTGGCGCAGTGCTTGAGAGTCCGCCTGCCGATGCAGGGGACGCGGGTTCGTGCCCCGTTTCGGGAGGATCCCACATGCCGCGGAGCGGCTGGGCCCGTGAGCCATGGCCGCTGGGCCTGCGCGTCCGGAGCCTGTGCTCCACAAATGGGAGAGGCCACAACAGCGTTTCATATCTGTCTTTAGTGTCATACTGTGCTAAGTAAGAAAAAAAAAAAAAAAAAAAAAAAAAAACTGTCCTCTAGCCAAGCACAGAAGGTGCCTTTTTATTTAGAATCTCCTAAAACAGTTCCAAATACCAATCCCAAGAATCAATTATTAGCGGTGGTCTCAGGCCAAAAATTATTAATACAGAAACGTTTAAAACCTTTTGGGGTCTAATTATTATTCCCTAATGATTTAAGAGATAAATATAACAAGCCTGTTTTGCCAGTTTGTGAAATTAAGTTTCAGAGGAAAATCTACACAATTATCATTCAACCACCACAGCAGACACATCATCCAAAAACAAACCTCAAATTTCAGGATGTCTGCAGCATAGAAGTGGCCACCTGGAAGCTACAGAGATCAAGGCAGCACCTCAGTAGCTGCCAAACCAGCAGATTTTAATTAAGTTCTGTTGTTGCTATAAGCAGTTACTCTACGCCCAATCCATCAACAGCTGTTAATGGTCTCTTTACTTTGTTCTGGGACATTACTACCAGCGGGTCAAGCGTTTTAAGAGGTGGCCTGGTCCAGAATCATGCTGGTGAGTCCCAGCAGTGGGAGAGAAAACACAGGGTACACAAAGGTCAGTGGCCAGAAGGCTTTTGGGGGCGGCGTTGGGGGAGGGTCCCATCCGGTTCCCCTGCACACCAGGGAGAAGCTCTCCAACCAGTACTGGGAGGTGGGGGGTCACAGGCCTCACATGACACTCAGAAAAGTGGTGGCCTCCCTGAGACTGCTCACTGCCACACCCCTGGCCCACTGTGGTCACCCTGGCCATCACTTTTAAGGCCCTGTCTCTACCTGGGGAACTGCACCTGGAGTCACTTGAAGGGCACATCCACGTAGAAATTTAATACTTACAGCTTTAACCCTCGACTGCCACCCAGTACCACACCTTGTACCTCACAGGTGACAGACACAGACCTTGCTCTCAGGGAGCCACAATGAGTCACTCCACACATATTTATAAAATGCGTACATTCTAGACACGGCCACCATGAAGCTCACACTCTTGGTGGGGGCAGCAGACAAGAAGTATACAGAGAGGTATAAGGTCAGTGACCATAAGGGCAAAGAAGAAATGCAAGTCAAGGAGAGGGGACAAGCGGGCAGGGGTGGGGGAAGGAGTGATGGCTGAACAGATGCCTAAATGAAGTGAGAAGGCAAACCCACAGACGCCTGGGAGACGAGCCTTCCAGCTGGGAACACCTGAGGCCCTAAGGTGGGGATGTGCTTGGTGTGTTTGGGGAATGGCACTGGGGCTGGAGGAACAGACACTTGCATCTCTTTACCTGGACCACCTGAGACAGGTCTTCTGCTTCCACTCTGGCCCCTGGAGTCTATTCCACAGGGTCCCTTTAAAACCTAAATCTCGGTGAATAGATGAACTAATGGTGGCACATCCATACAAGAGAACACCACTTAGCATTAAAAAAAGAATTGCTGGGCTTCCCTGGTGGCGCAGTGGTTGGGAGTCCGCCTGCCGATGCGGGGGATACGGGTTCGTGCCCCGGTCTGGGAAGATCCCGCATGCCGTGGAGCGGCTGGGCCCGTGAGCCATGGCCGCTGGGCCTGCTCGTCCGGAGCCTGTGCTCCACAGTGGGAGAGGCCACAACAGTGAGGGGCCCAC